ATTTAGTTATGAGTAATGTCTATCTCAGCTGTTATTTAAACATTTCCTCTACCAAGCGATGTTACTTTAAACAATCAGTAAGTGAGTCACTTGCAGAGTCTCTGCAGAGCTGAAGATTAATACTGTTTTCTCCAGCATGAGACATTCAAATTCATCCTCTAGAAACGAATAGAGAACACTGACTACCCTTTTGGGAAAATGCAAGCAATTCTGTAAAGTCAGGGGAGGTTTACATTACAATTGTCATATAAAATTCAGACAAGTGAAATCATAAAAGCTGAAACAAAACAAAAATACAGGTGAATGTCAGTGACAAACAAGAAAGAGTCAGTGAAGCTGCAGCATATCTGGGTGACTTCAACATAACAGAACTGCATACATACAAGGAATTTAAAATGAGGGAAGTATCTGAATGTGAACAAAACTGAAATTAAAATCAATCAGTACACTGACTAAAAGGGAGGATGGAAAATGCAAGCAGCTAGCTGGTAGCAAACATTAGCTAGCAGATGTGATTGCCATTAGCTCTAAATGCATGCTAAATTAAAGCCAGCATCTGTTCTCACAGAGATGGCCTTAGTCATCTTAAAAGAAAGGTTAGTTTGGAAATCAAGACTTTAGAAAAGGATTAAAGTCAGGGTTTGGGGGAGGCAGAGAACCCGATGTCTGATAACCATGGGCAAATGTTCACAGTCCTGGATGGTCATTCTGCAGCTCTGAATGAGCAGTGTTACATTTCACAGGAGCTGGTGAAGGCCCTGCAGGTAGAAGTCAACACCTTTTAAGGATGTGAATGTAAGATTCAATGATTTGACTTCTTTCTAGACAAGAAAAGCTGAGCAAGCAGTAAAGTAGATGCTGGTGACAAATGCTGAGAAAAGGAAAGCAAAGTCCCAAAGATTTCCAATAATGACTAGCATTTAACTCTAAGCAGCACTTACACAAAGAGAAACAAAATTATTACAATGGCAGGCATCATAAAACACTGGGACCTAGAAAAATGAAAGTAGTAAGAATGAGTAACTCGGTCAAAAATTCGATCACACAGTTACCAAGGCTGGATGTCATTTCAGAGAAATGAGGAAAAGGACTTCTGAAATGATGAAGGGATTACAAATTGTAAAATAGGTGGTAGAAACTATCATCAGAGAAAACACAAACAGAAAAGAAACGGTGTCATCTAATCAGAGTGCAAAAGAATTACTGTGTATATCTAAGAGTTTATTTCTCGGTTTGGGAACATTAAGTTCAATTTTATTTGAGCTGATTTAACCACCCTTATCTTAAGCAATAAAACTATCGTTTTGAACACCCATCTACCTTCTTTCTAGAATATCATACAGATGTAAATCAAAGATCAGTTGCTAAAGTAACAAGTCAAAAGTAAGAAGCTAGATGGCTTTGTTTAGTGAGGATCTACAATAAATTTAGGTAATTACTTCTGACATTTTCATTTCACTGTAGTAAAGTTTAAAGTGTAACTAACAATGATGTAAAACTTGAATTTGAAGTAACTGTAGTTTACTGCTTAATTGTGTGGAGCAAGGAAATTTTTAGTTAATGACTCAATGAGACCAAAATGAAGACTACAGCAAATTCAGTCAAAATACAATTATATATGAAATCTCTAAGGGCTATAAAAAATTAGGAAATAGGGAGCTGTTAGTAAATATTTTGGTATTGTGACTAGCCATTGCCTCTGTCAAGCATATAACAATTCTGTAACAGAGACTGCGTCTTTATTGCTCAACCTTCAGTAACAACTGAAAGCAGATGGCTGAGGGACTGTAAGAAACCATTTTGGTTTTAGTCGGTCTCCCAGTAGATAAGGGCCCACACTGTAATAAGTACTAATTAATAATCTTTCCAGGAACTCTGACAAAGAACCATGGATTGAATGCATGTGGAAAAATTAGCTGCTCTTGCTCAAAAAGCTGAGTTTTCAAATCAGGGTGTTCATGTGTAGTCGGACAAGTTTTTGTTCTTCATCTGTCTTCTCTTTCTCTACTCTGTGAAGCAGGGAACAGTTTTAGTTGAGACTTTTCTAGGAAAGTAGTTTCGCAATGCATTGGCTTTCTTGGGACTGAATCAGAAAAGTAGTGTGGAGCTACCAGAGTACTGACACTTCTGCGACTTCCCTTGGACACGCCAGCTCTACCACTATGGTTCTACTTCTTGGGAGGCTTATGGGGTATCTGAAAGACAGGCACGTATTCTTAAGTATCTATGCTACTTTTGGGAAGGCTGTGCAAGAACTGCAGGGGATATGCTACTCTTAGGTGCTTCTCCCAGCCTATTGCCATGTCCCCTGAACAAACATAATCCACGCAATTTAGCCCTTACAATTTAGAAATTATGTCTTCACGGAAAAGTGGTGTAATACTTCCATTAAAGTAGAAAAATCTCTTATTAAACCTCTGACATTAACAACTTGATCACAGGCGCACAGGATGCAAGTTATAATGACAAAATTGGCTAGCTAGTATCATGTAGTTGAGTGTACATTATTACAGGATTTGTACAAATGGTAATTTGTTGCTGCCATGGGTTTTTTTTCATATTTTATGCTGATAGTAAATATCTCTGTTTTGCTCTGTTGGGTTGACATATAGAATCTTCTGGTCATTAGCGAGTATTTCTTGCCAATATATTAGTTTATGAGTTTTCAATGATAAATCAGTGACATAAAGGTCTTTCCCATTTTTGTTGACTGAAAGTTGCTGTTTGAATATTATTTTGTTTACTCTCACAACTACTTAAATAATATCTGAAAAGATTATTATCCCAGAGGGTAGAAACTATCTGTTAAGATCTCCATGCAATAATAGCTACGCTGAGTCTATATCTGAAAACACAAAACCAAACTAAAATATGTAAGCATGATGCTGACATTCTGTTCTTGTGTGATGTCTCCTCTTGTCTTCCTCGGATGCATTTTCTGTAATTTTCATCATTCCTCTGATAAAATTATGAATGCTATTATACAATAAACATCAGAAATGTTATCCCAAATAAAATTAGCTGAAAAGAGATTAGTTTCATTATTTAAACAACTAAAAAAATATTGTTCCTACCATATTTGCCTCTGGAAATTGAAAAGTGAAGATGGGATTTGGGATAGAAAAAGGACTGGGAATTTGCCCTTGAATTTCAATCCATTTGGGGTCGAAAGTAAACTTTATTTTTAAAATAAACTTTCTTAAGTAATGATCTTCAAATTGTAGACTCTTCATATTAGCAAATTGTTTAAACAGCCGCACAGTAAAAATGGTTGGGCAGCATTGTATTTTAATTAGTTTTGCCCATGAGAACTGCAAGATCTTATTCCATCAATAGAATCAGAATTAGTGGTGTGTATAAATGATGATCTGAATCCATGGGTATCAAAGAAGTCCATAGCATCAGAAGAAAAAAAAGAAAAAAAAGTATTTTGGTCTGGAATTTGGGCTGATGAAACGGAGGCACCCTAAATAACATTTAAGAATTGCTCTGGTCAGCAATTCCTCTGATATATGAGCAATTTCATCTTCTTACCTTTTGATTAAAAATACTAGTAGCAGTGTTCTCAGAGGTCAATACCAGATGCTTGAATAATCCTCACAGATGTTAGTATTTTAAGTAGGAGAGGTACTGTCATTCCTGCAAAATGAACACATAGTAGGATGGAAATGAAAAAACCCCTCCAAGATGTTAAAGTGTAAACACAGGCTTTTGCAGTATGTACCTGGAGAACTACAGTGAGAAGTGAAAAAGTTGGGGAAAGAAGTCAGATTGTAAATTATAAGGAAAAGGGGAGTTGGTAAGTCTGTCATTTAACCCTGAGAATGAACGTCCTAAATGATGAGATAGTTAGGAATGTAAAGCTGGCAAAGGAGATGAACAACTCAGAGTGGAAAGCGGGGGACAAGAGAGACCTAAGGCAAGAATTTTGACCTCTCTTCAGATTCAAGTCAAAGAACGTCTCTGAAATTTGTCACAGAGATATAGACTCTAAAAAACTCAATAGTTAAACAAAAGATGTTGAGTTGATCAAACTGGAAGTCATAAAAACCAAACTGGAAATCAAAAGCGAACATCAGGTGGTAGTTCAACTGTCATAACAGAAAAGGAGACATGGCAATTTCTTCATTATCTCGAATCCCTAAATCATGATGTAATATGCTCATTTGTTCAGTTTCTGGACTGTGGGTGCTGACCCTCCCTCCCCCTGCCCCCCTTTCCCCAGTGTCAGAAAATGCAATCAGGGAGTTGTGAAGCATTGAAAATTTACTGTGCTCTTCCCCACTCTTTGCACATCTTTAGTCTTCAAGGTCAAGTAACTTCCACTAAACTCTCAAAGCTCTCCCAGATTATATAGATCTACTGTCACAAATAATTCTTAAACTATTTAAGAATAAATTGTGAAAATCTGACTTAAATGAGAAAATTCAACCTAAGAAACTCTAAAAGGGCTCATGTAGTTCTGGTCACTGGATTTAGTGATAGAACAGTGAAGCAAATACACCATTATACAGATTAGCTGATGAAAATCTGTGTTGTTACTGGGTATGACTGGTATGGTTTAAGTAACTTTGTAATAAAAATGAAGCATGGAACTACTTTCATGAGCAATAAAAACTTAATGTTCAGTAAGGAATGTATTTTGTACTTGGCTGTTTCTGTAGTGTGTTACTTCTACCCTGGACAAGTTTTGTGGGTACTGACTGCATTTGCTGCTTCTGTCTTCATTTCTGCTTTTGACAACAAGTTGTTTCTAGGGCTGTTCAGATTACTTTTGTATTAAGATACTGACACTGAAGTCATGCTGTAGGAACCGCTTAAAAGCCACTCGTTAAGACATTCAAATAGTAGTTTATTTTAGAAACCTCTTAAGTAAATTCACCAATGTATTAAATGCATGTGATAAAGTCCTAAATTAACTTGTATATATTGCAGCTAAATGTAACAGGCCTTATAAACTTTAAATATCATATCTTAATCCAGACAGTGAAAACTTGTAATTATATTGTATATCCTGGAAGCTTATTTATTACAAGGTCACTGATGTCTTTGTATTGAGGAACACATAGTTTTCCCAGAAAATCCTCCTCTTTGTCTGACATACTGTTTTCCAGGGCACTAAGTTCAAGATCAGACATGTTAGATGACAAGTAAGAGCTAACTGGAGTTACAGACTGGCTTTTTCCTGCAGAGGTCTGCCGCTTTCCTATATTCAGGTCAGCATCACAGCTAACTTGTTTGCTTCTCAGTGTAGATACTTGTTTAATATGCTGACCGCCCCTGTTCTCTTCCTTACTGATCCGTTGGGCTTCCTGCTCTTCATCTAATAGTGATGCTTCCATTTGAGCAAGCTCAACTGAATCAACAGATTCACCACTAGTTCTCTCGCTGTTTTTTAAGTCACAGTTTCTCTTCAAAGACTGGACTGGAGATGAAGCGGAAGGAACTGGCAGAAGATCTAAAGAACTTTCAGCTTTTGGACTTGACTTTGAAGTTCTGGACCTGCTGGATTCCAGCTCTGTATCTGACAAACTTTGCTTTGGGCTTTCAAGCCACAGAGGTTCAGGACTGCTGTCAAGACCTTCCGAGTCTCTGCCCGTACACTCAGCACTGGTGAAATCTTCAGAATAAACTGGGTTCTCAGGACTAGCAACAAAGTCGTCCGAGTATATGAATTCAGAGTTGTTTTCAATGCTCCTGCTGCGGCTTGGTTTATGATCACTTATAATAGACACATCATCACGCTCCGTGGTTTTATGACGGATTAAGTGTACTGCTTCCTCATTACTTCCCTTTGCATTAGCATCTGATGGGAATGCTGCTGGGAGTTGGGTTTTCACATACTTTTCCTTCTGAGATGATTTTAATACAGTTTTCTCCAGTAAGGGGGCTGTAGTTAGTTTGCAGGGACATTCCTTGCTTGCAATTTCATCCTTCAATAGACTTGCAATAGCCTGTTTCTGCAGGTCAGGGGACACATCTCCTGCCATGGAAATGTACTCTGTGAGAGCACTGTTTTGTAAGGAAGTCTCAACAGTTTTATCAAACTGATGATTCTGCTTTGAACGGTCTCCCTTGCTACAATGCCTGTAAGAGACCACATGCTGTTCTCCAGCATTTCTGAGCAGCTTTCTTCTGCATAATGGACTTCTCTCCTTCATCATCTCCATTTGCTTTTTTCTGTACTGCTCTCTCTTTTCATGAATTACCAGCTTGCCAGGGTTGGTCTGCTGCAGCCGCAGCCTCAGTGTATTTGTCAGCCCATACATCAATTTCTTTCTGGGAGGTCTGTTTTCCTTAGTTTTGCAGTTCCTTTCAGAGCTTGTCTCTCTTTGGGGTACAGCTTTCTTAGATCCTCTCCCAGCCTGAGAAGACCCTGGTGTGGTGGCCTCTTGCCGGCCTTGCTTGAATCGAGGGCTGGCAGCTCCACTGCTCCCACCAGGCCCCACAGGTGCCTCTGCAGGCTTGAGGGCAGAGGAGGGTTTGGGGGCGAAAGGCCATCCCACCACTCCCCGGGGCCTGGAGGCAAGCAAAATGGGGGTGGACAGCAGCAGATGTAGCGCTGTGGGCGAGCACCGACAGCTCTGCCAGCAAGGCACTGAGTAGCGGCAGCTGCCCCAGGGTGTTGTAGAGCTGTGGCGGGCTGGCAGGGTACAGCAGTGAGGGCCCAGCACTGGGACGTGGGGGGCTCTGGCCTTTATCTTTCTCCTGTGGTCTCCAGGCCTTGACGTGCTCCCATTGCCCTGTGGTCGCTGCTGCTGGCAGCGGATGAGGCTCAGCAGGCTCGCGGCTGTAATAGAGCATGGGAGGACAAAAGGTGTTGCCCTCCAGCTCCTCCTCCTCCTCCTCTTCCCCCGGCTCGGGGGAGGTGGCAGGCGGC